GGGAGCGCCTAGGGCGAATAAGCGAGCAGCCAGCCGTGCCGCAGGACTGACCGATGGGCAGCAGCAGACAGCGCGAAAACACACCAGCATAATAAAACTGAGGGACAGCGCGGTGGCAAGAAAAGCCTCGATCGTTTCATCATGCCAGAGCTTTTTTTAGCCACGACGTCTCGGGTCAGCGAGGAGCACCGAATAAAAATGGCGCGCCATCGCACATTGGGTAGTTCGTACCTTCGTTCCTCGGTTCTGTCCCACACTTCAGTAATGTATATAAAGACCATCATCGTCAAGCTAACGGCCCAGTCAATCAAAGCGTCGAGGAAGTTCCGCAGAAGCAGCAGCCCGTTTTTGAGGAAGGGCGCTGAGAAATTATAGTGCTAGGCAGGGGCGCTTATGCTGGTCACGGTCAAGTTCCACCACTGGTCAACTTTGATCAGCAGATGGTTGCTGCAGCCACTGCGATTGGCTTGAAATGCCGTCATTACGAAATTTCAAAATCTGGCGGCATTCGAGAATGTCCAGAACGGCACCCCAGACATGAGTCAACGCCACCTAAAGAAACTTGGTCAAGGCCTCGAAGCTCCTCACGTGACGTGTCATCAGTGGGCCGACCCTTGATTCGCGCGAGCTCGATAGTGAATGAGCTTAAGTCAATTGCAACGCTGGTTGCATTAGTGATTAACGTTCATATGCGTAAAAAAAAATTGCGAATGCTCCAAAAACATAAATAAGCGTGCAGAGTTCATTCTGCTTTTGTGCTATATTTTATTTTATAACAAGCACTTGTACAATAATTTATTCGCAAGCGTGTCCAATTTTTTTTTCTGGACTTGTCCACACCTTGTTTTTTGTCATTCAGGCATCGACAAATTATTTCGCAAGTTGACCCTCAGTGAATGTTTCATCACTTGTTCGCTATCGTGTCCATAGTCACAGCAATCAAACATTGTGAAGTCTTCACCTGCCAGCAATTCCAGCGTTGATTCTGTGACTATTGGCAGTGACCATTGGCCTCTAAAAACTATCGCTTCGTTGCAAGTCGTTCTACAACAAAACATTTGTGCGCACGTGCATTCACAGCTAACATTGCTATGGAAATAAGGCCTCCTCTGTCTATTTTCTTTACGAGGATGTACAGCGAATTTTCGCTTTCTTGAGGGCAACATGCACTGCGTACGCAGTCGCATACGCCGAAACCGGCGAAAATGACCTTTAGTATTGATACTGCTCACGCAGTCATAACGACGTTCCAGACTGATCCCTGTACTCTTGCTTAAATGTACCTCGCAGTTTTGGTCATTTGTCTGCTGGGTTTCCAGCTGATGTGCCAGTCTACAGTAGTGTGTTTTGGCGAAGCCTGTTTCGGATTTCATGCGCATGCTTGCTAGATACGCCGCACTGGTACCCAGCCATGCGACTGAAGCTCCCGAAAAGATCTTCAAAGAACTTAGTGAGGAGAGCAAAAGGCATGTCGAGCTCATCAAAACAATACCAGTGTCGACATCCAGCAGTGACCGCTGTGGGCGCCAGCGTCCGCAGCATGAAAGCGGCCCATTGAAAAAAAAATCTGGCCCACAACCGATGACGTTGTGCGACGCATGCAGTACAGCTTCCAGGCCTTGATTTAGTTCCTTTAGGTGGCTTGCATTAGTTGGCAACCACTCGGCTTTACTTCCGTATCAGAGTAATTCCAATAAAATGTTGGTCAGAACAGAAATAATGAGAAACGTTATCGCCATTTGCTTCGCATTCCTGTTCCCTAAACTGATGGAGCGGCTTCAGCCCAGAAACGTACGACGCGCCATTCGCTACTGTTCGGACTAACGAGAGAAATGGCGACGTCTACACGCAAAGGCAGAGCACGCCGACATCCCGAGTGACGAAAGTCCAGCGTCACGTGGAGGGGCGCGCAAAGACCTGGCCTTCCGGTACAACGACGTCGTAGAGGCGACAGCGTTCTGAAAACTCGCGCGACGAGGGCACTCGCTCAGCCTGACCTCCCGTCGAATGGACAGCTAGCGCGAATTCATCCGACCGCGTCAGTTCCGCCTTTCCGCGACATCCTTTTTCCCGACGGAGGTGCGACAGTCGACCTTACTTAGCGAGAGCTGAAAAACGCGTGACATGTTGGCAGCAACGCTATACATACAGTTGTTCAGAAGTACGACTGCGTTGAGCTCTCTTTGCTCTTTTTTTTTTTTTCATTATCACTGCGTGCAACCAGTTTTTCAGGCTCTTTTTTTTTCTTGAAGGGAGGGGGTACAGAACGCGGAAGGGGGCTCGTGGGTGCCTGTCTGTTAGGTTGGTGGGGGGGCGGGTCAGAATGCTTTTTAGATATATTTAAGGGGGGGGGGGGCTTAAATCCGAGCACGCAGGGATTCCCTCCCCATGAAATAGTTGATGCCTAGTGCTCGTCCTGCATTCACGTGACGTCATACGCAAGAAGCGCTAGAGCTGCAGTCACATTGTGGTCCCGCATGCGGAACGTTATCGTTGGACTACTACAAGCTGTTTTCAGCAACACATTTTATTCTGATAATTTTTTTTTCGCCCGAAACGGCTCAGCGAGGTGCAGGGCCGCCAAATACCAGAGTGTCATAAGCTGGATCATTCAACAACCACGGCAATGCACATAAGTTGTGCGCTCAGTGGCGCCGCAAAAATGATAGCCAGTTCTAGCAATCAGCTATCCCGCACACCCGTTTTCACAACAACGCACGTGGCCGATATTTATTGCTACTCGTCTTGTTTATTTCCCAAGTACCGAGAAACGGAGTAGTCCGAGGATATTTGCGATAACTGGCGCGCACCAAGTCCATCCAATCAGGGATGATAAAGCACGGGACGTTGGTAGTTATAAAAGGCTCGTTGTCACTCATTCAATGACGCTGCGATTTCTAAATGATACCAAGTGTAGTTTACATATTTACAACTGGGTTAGGGAGCTAAATGACATCTTTTGTGCTTCGAACGACTCTCATGTCTTGGCCTCCAGTCCCCCTGCGCCGGCTACTTTGTCTCTCTCCCGATCTTGTGAGGGGTCCCAGTCCGGGTCAGCAAGGGGTAGCTACGACCACGGCTATCATCTTATTCACGCATACATCACGAACGTGTCCCAATCACCCACAGACGATGGCACGAACTATGCAACCAATGGCTACATTTTTTCCCCTTTCCTTTTTTTTGACAATCACCACCGAAGCAAGAAAATGTTAGCAGAATACGACTCGCGCCCAATAAATCTATTGCTGCAGCAAACGAGTCCGGTGTTGTACAGCGCATAACAGGGCTTTAACGGCGGCCAAAAGACGGCTACGCTTGCCGAATCTAAAGCGGAACCGAAACTGGCGCGCTCGTCCCCGCGGCATCCAGCTCCGCGATTGATCGCCCCGGGCCCGGCGCAGAGTCAACGGCCAGCCGAGCACCACGTCCGTCAATCGCCAAAAAGATTCACTAAAGCATAACGCACGACTTTTGTTCTAATCTACCATTCGTCCCAGCTCGTAGAGCGACAGAAGGCGCTGGTTGCTAATTTAAAAAAAAAAAAACAGAAATCCTTGACAAGCACACACACGTAACAATCGTAGTAATAAACGGCGTTCGATCTTTCAACGGAATCCGCACTGTAGTACGCTCTTTTCCCGTACGCTACATATACCTTCCGCCCCCGACTCGATTACGTAGCGGAGGTCGAAAGGAGCGGATTTAGTTGCCGGGAAGAACGTTTGCGATCACCCTTGAAATCCGAGTTGAATACCCCCCCCCCCCCCCCCGTAAGCATGAATAGGAGCGCGACCGCCGTTCCCAACTTTAACGAAAAAAAAAAAAACGGGAAGGGGGGGGGGGGGCTTACGTGAAAACCGTAACTCCAGCGTTCATCAAGCACAGCAGGACGCACGCGGAAGAGGAAAGGCAGTCACGACGGAGGCGCGGCGTGGGGCGGTGTAGACCACGTTACTATATGTATAAAAAATATGTTTAGGCACGCGGCTTGGTTTACGCATTTGTGTGGTAGAAATTACCACGCAACAAACATGATATGGCGTGAGGCCGGTATGTCGATATCGTGGAGACTGTGCGCGTGCCGGTGACTGCCAAAATCGCATAGTTCGCTTTGTTGTAGCCTTGGAAAACAAAGGCGCAGCATCGTACGACTAAGCACATACGTGCAGAATGGCTGGTTTAGATCGCAAGCTCGCCGAATTCTGAGCGGCTAAAACGATCGACGCGACGCTGCGACAGTTTTGCTGCAGAAATACGATGCCCCAGTTTACGGAAAACAGTCAAAACCAATCGGCCGCAACGCGCCGATGGAACGCGACACACTCTCGCGGCAGCGGCCCGTCACGAAGTCGAGCTAGGCCTGCGAACACTTTGTTTCACTCGCATGACAAGTGCACCTGGGAAACATGTGCAACAAGGAGCGTTGCGCCACAGAAAGCTTTCCGCAACGACGGGGTAACCCGAGCGGCAGGCGCGAGATCGGGATCGGTCGCGGTGAACGGCGATCACGCATGCATCAGCTGATAGATTAGGGCAGCAGCGCGCTATGCCGAGTTTTGCGGGCACAGCTGGGCAGCGGGTGAAAGGGGGCAGGTCGCCTGGCAGCGGACCTCGCGCAGCTCAGGCATCGGCCCCGATAGAAAACAACCTAGCAGGAACGCGCATCGAGTCTGGTCAACACGACGCACTTGGGTGTATTCGCGTTAGCAGACGACCAGAGAAGCACGAAACGCGAAAAGGCGTCCCGCGGAGACGCGCCGCACTTGCGGACAGACAGGCCCGCGCATGTTTACTCGCGTTGAGATCTCCATACGTCATCGCCATATAGAAAGGCGATCACGTTCTAATTAGTTCCGCGGAAAATGTCCTAGCATCGCGTCAGCACAGGCTTTAATCATTCAAAGGGAACGGGATCAGAGGCGTGGTTTAAAGGGACGCCACACGCATCATCAATAACGAACGGCTAGCGGTGCTTGGCGCACAACAGTTTTGCTTACCGTTTTGTAGCGTCCTTTGTAGACGACCGCAAAGGCGCCGTGGCCGATCAAATCCTTGGTGTTGTACTCGAACTCTCCCACAGTCTCCATGGTGTGCAGGGCTGGGCGCGTTTCCGACGCGTCAGACTCGTCGCTGTTCGCAGTCAGCTGTCAGAGGAGTACGCCTTTGTCCGACGCAGAGAGCTTTGTTAGGCCTAGACGAGCAGCCGACGCTCGCGTATCCCAAGCCCATCGTCGCTGCCGCAGCAATCGCGGACGTACGGCGCTAGGACGACACCATAGCGGCACGCAGTTCGACCAAAATGCGCCGAGACACTGGCCAAGCGCTGGCTGTGACAATGGTGCTCACTTAACCTGTCCTTGGCACTCGCTTCTCTATTCATTCATGTAACATGCGCGGCTCTTTACGATTAATCGCGAAAAACCGCGAAAGGGTGGCACAGTTTACTACTTTCGTGACCAGCACACACACAGCTGCGGCGACAAAAGCGGGAGCCGATCAACGCGACGGCGATGATCACACACGAATTCCCATTGGAGAAGCCATGATTCACATCACAGCGCGAATCGCACACGACCGCAGCACACTCTTTCATCCATTTGCGGAGATCCGCTTGCGAGCATTTTGTGTACGAGCAACCGCAGCGCCACAAGTCCTCCGCGCGCAAAGTAGTGCGCCTCCTGTGGCCTATTGAATACATTTTTAGAGTTTTAAGCTGTCCAATAACAAAATTGTTAAGATATTTTTTTATGTTAAACACTTTTAAGTGTTTCATTCATATTTATTTACAGTATGTAGTATTTTTGTTTTGATGCATGAGTACAAAAACAAATACTACAAATAATCACTGCGTGACCTAATATAATAAAAAGTGAAAAAAAACAAAGCTTATTGTGGTTTTAAAATAATTGTATTGATGTACGGTCATAATTGTTGGATTTTCTAGTTTACATTGTAGAGGTGCTGTGTTCTTGCGCGCGCGACTCGCGTTCCCGTCTGCGCCGAGACTCCGCGAGACGAAACATTCGCTCATGGCGACAGAGTTGCTAGCCACGTGGGGGAAGTTCTGCGGGCGCATCGGCGTGCAGAGGCATCCGTAAGAGCTTCGAGACACGCGGAGATACATCGCCAGTCGTCGTCCTTGCGGTCCAGCGACATCCTTACCTTCCTGTGTTGGTAAGTAGCCGCCTGGACGGCGTTTACGTCGGGTCCAGACTGATGAAAAGGCCACCATATTGTGTTTTGGTCCGGCTAAGCCTGACCCCCCATCCGTTGCGGCTGCTGGCCGCTGGGCATTCTCGCCGAGCCGGATAGATTCCGATCGCCGTGCTGGCAGGTCGTTCGTAGGGTAGCGCTCGTGAGTGCGACCCGGTTCGTTTCACGAGCGCCAGTTCGTATTGCCGCCTCATTGTTGACAATTTTGCGGATAACGCGCACCGCTCGCGACTCGTCGCGTGGCGACTGCGCGAGCTTCTCGGTGCCAGCTGAGTCATTCGGGCCACCGGTTTCCAGCCGTGCGGAGCCCTGCCGTGTGTTTGATGGGCGTACGCTGGCCGGCGTTTCCGTTGGGGTCGGCCTGGTTTTCGGGTCACCGGGAGCTATTTACCGAGCACCGAAATGCTGCCGACCCGAGAAGGAATTGCCTTGTAGGGAAGTTTCGCCTCGCATGTTGCGGGCTCGGTTGTCATCTGTGAGCGTGTCTGAGCAAGTTTCGGCCACGCGGATACGTGTTTGTATTGGCGTGCTTTTTTGCCGAGTCTCCGAGGTGCTTCCCCGGAACCTTTTTGCTCCCATCGGTGAGCTACCGGAGGTCGAGGGATCTGAAACGCTTGCGGTCGGCTATTAATAGCCGCAGTGAACATCTTTTATTTCTGTTTCGGCGATTTTGGACCTTCGCAACGTCCACCGGTTATTGCGGCGTGCGCCGGCCGCGGCGTACTTTTGTCTTGAAGCAAGCTCGCCTCACGAGGCCTGCAAAAGTCAGTCGTCCTTGCTTTCCAGTAGCGGACACCGCGCCGCATTCGACGGTTCGCCAGCCGGCCGCTGTGTCAACATCTGGCATGATCGGGCCATGCTTAAAGCGGCGTGCGTCCATTGAATGTTGGCGGCCCTGTAAGCGTCGTGCGCCGAGTTGCTTTGGGCCGCTCTCTACATTTTTTTTGTTGCGACCTCGGTGACCGTGGCCCGGCACCTTTCTTCGTAGGTGCCGCGCCGCCGCCGGCTTGCCCTTCTCGTGCGGAGGTCATTCTCCGCCTTCGAGACGCCGGCCGCCCCGCGCATGTCCAGGGGAGGAAGGGGGGGCTGTGGAAGGGTACTAAAGTTTGGGGCCGAAGTTTTGTCGTTACTAGTGCGTGCTATGTAAACCGTGTTCGATTCATTTGAGAGTGATCAACCCACTCCCCCAACACGTGTGGTGCGCTGATTAGAAGCACGTGTTTGCCGAGAAACGGATTTTTTTTACACTTCCGGGAGCGCGCTTGTTTCCTGTATGCTTCTTTCGTTTACTTCTTTGTTTCTCCTTTAATGACTCATTGGGCCTACGCCTCTTTTTGGCCTACGCCTCTTTTTCTCTTTCCAATTCATACGGGATATTGACTTCTGTTTATCTCATCTTCATTTCGTTTCCTCTTTTACACGAACGGTTGATATCACGGGTCGTTTTTTACTAGTATAGTTTTCGTCTTCGCGAAGGTCCGGTATAACGCAACAATCGTTTGGGAAACGTTTCTGTAATTGTCGTTGTGATATTTATGAGGAATAAGACTAGTTGCGCAGTACCCGAGCACCCACGCAACTTTCATTGTCCTCGAACCTTTACTCTATTCCAAAGGCGCCCTAGTTTTCGGCATGCATTCACATATAACTAGCTTTGCAGCTACCTACGTCACACCGCTCGATTCGCGAATACCAAGCACATTACTGGAGACAACAGACGGTAAAGCTGCACAACTGCGTTTCTCGTCGGCGCCGTAAATTTCAATGGTGATAGGTGGGAGCAGATGTGAAGGTCATACGAAGATGAGCTAGGCTCGGAGATGTACAGTCTGGTCAAGCTAATAACTGACTAGTGTGGCCACCATGATGCATAGTAGGGAAGCATAGTACTTGGCTTGCATACTTCAACATACAGAACCTCAAGAAACCCATCAGCATTCAAATATGCTGGTATTAATTCACAACAAAGTGTTGCGTTCACGAATTTTCACATCTCTGTGCTCATCATATCACTGTGGAGTGATATGATAACTTTTACTTCGTCGTGCGCGATGCAAATTTTTGTTGAAGTGTAGCAAGTAGACCATGCTTTTCAGGGAGTCTTGCTAAGTTCTCTGATGAAAAGCGCCTAATATGGTGCTTAGGTGGTGGGCTGCACTACACGGGTTCAAACGTAGCTGTGGTGCTTTTACTTCATTGGTAGTGAAGTGCCCGTGTGCTGCGCACTGTCAAGAGTCCTTCAAAGAACTTTAGGCGGCTGAAGTAGTATGAAGCTCTCCACTACGTCGTCTGAATAACTTGTGATGAACGTTTAAGCCATTGCACCCAGTGTTGGCATTGTTGTGTTCACGGACACTGCCGACCGGGAGAAGCAGAGTTCACGAGGCATGACAACAGGCTTGTATTTGGACGCAACAAAGTTCGCAGCATTTTCATCGCAAAAGCAAACACACGCAATACTGCACCAATCGGCACACACTTCCTTACTGATGCCACAAGCCAGAACGCCGGTGAACTCTGTTTTTGGAGAACATTGCTGAGTGCATGAGCTTTTCTCTTTCTCTCTCCGGTAGCTGCCGAGCTTTGGTTGTTAGGGTGGGGCTTCTTTTGACTTCTAAAAGCTGTATCGACTACAGATTGCAAATTCTCGACACTCGTGTTCCGGACACATCTGCTCATAAGATGTGAGCAAACCAGTTCTAAGCCATCATTTCATCTTATCAACAATCAATTCCTGACAACGTACGATAATTCGCATTGTTGACGTGGGTGGCTGCTAGTAGCTTGCTTCGATCCGCTTGCACCCCAACAGTTCGCGGCAGCGAGGTCCACTCTGACACTGCGAGCATTTTTTTCTTGCCTATCTCCTTCAACAAGTTCATCAAGGTATGTAGGATAATTCATGAAGAATTCTGTTTTGCCATACACACACACAAGGCAAGACAATCTGCCACACAGACATTAACACCGCACTGGCATTGCAATGCATGCTCGTGGGGATGGCGGATGCAAAACCTGAAGACGGTAATTGGTGTCATGCATAACCTATGTATTGAGCCACCCTGGTGTTGAATCTCCACCAACATTCATGTCAAAACTTGTGCCAGTGTGTAGGTGGTGTCACCCACACTATCATTAAATGGACACTAAAGTCAACTAGTAAGTCGACGTTGATTGTTGAAATAGCAGTCCAGGAACCTCATAGTGTTACTTTTGTCCTAAGGAAGGGCCTATTTTGAAATAAAATCACATTTTAGTGGTCTGCGTCGGGTTAGCACACTTCAAATTACCCACCTCAAGAAGCGGACTGACCGGACCGCCTCACGTCACTGTTGCCATGCAAATGTTGCCTGCCTTCACTGCGCCTAGCACAGCAGACTGAAAGCAGCAGGAGCAGCCATTGATCAATATTGTGTCATCGGCTCCGAGATCGCAGACCTGTTTTTGTTCAAATAAGCCCCGCTAGATGGCACGAACTATCCAGTTTAACCACGCGAAAAATTGAATTTTTGAGCCACTCGTGCCGTTCTCCATTAGTAACATCCGGCAGTTCTTTTTTTCCATAAATCAAACAAATGATCAAGCAGCATTTTATTGCGTCCCTTGATGCACGGAAGGTTCTTTTAGTACAGCTAGATCGATTAATAGTAGGCGGTCCGTCTGATGTCATCGGGATCATTTTCAAGATATCCTACTGCGGCACATGTGTTCTTGTGCATTCACCTTAATTTCTCGGTTAGTAGAGCACTGTTGTTGATAATATTGTCGTTTTATATGTTGTCATACATTGAGCTTTCACTCTGACGTAAATTGTTATTTGAATTTAGTGATCCCTTTAACAAAGTAATTCTAAAACAACTGTCGATTACCTAAAACAGGGTTGGTAAAGGTAGTGCAGATTTGGGGGGAAGCAGTTCAACTTCGTAAACCGCATCGCATGGCTGTATTTTTTGTACTACTTATACAGTTACTAACAGCAATAAACTGTCATCAATTGAATTTGATTATTGAAGTGAAACCCATCCTGGCGGTCAAGCTATCACATTGCATTGTCAGGAAACAGTGTGGATACCTTGCACTGTGTGGCAGAGACTATACCGAATTGTAATCGCTCATTACAGAATTCTCGAGACGAGACTGGCAGTTAAGTGCTCAAAAATTGAGTTGCTTTGTATGTCTGTCTATTCATTATCCTATGCTGACATTGACCATTGTCACCAGTGGTAACATACTGCAACCGTTAATTAGGTGGGCACCTTGCCATCCCTGGCTTCGCTATTGGCACTGTCTGAAAAAAGAAAACTGTGCAATGGGTAAGGGCGCTGACTAACCACTGAACTGTGGCACAATTTAATGTGGCTGTAGGGTCC